CTTTCCCACGTTCTATTGATATTGAAAGCAATCCACTCTCCAGTATTGAGACACTCTGTTATAAATCTGAAATAGCTGTGCTCTTAGAGTTCCTGAAATCTCCTGCTACCACTCTGCTAAAATTCACCGAACAAGAATTGCACTATATTCCAGTAGATTGTATCATTGAACATGATGCAGATCCCTGTGACCTATTAATGATATGGCACAAACTTCCTCAAGAATATCGCAGCAACTTTAACCTACAAATCAAACTGCCATGCTTCGTTCATTATAATCGTCCCGATTGGACCATACACTGGGATGGACCGCCATCTTCTCAAGAGGCATGTCATTTTTGTAGAAAAGGATTACTTAAATAAATAGATTATCTAACAATAATTTTCCTCGTAGTAGTTTCATTTCGCATTTATGTACCATTAATGACATATGTCAATGGTAGAACGATATCCCTCAAACACCCTGTATATATTTCTTTCAACTCAAACACTTCTTCCATGCTAAAACATGGGACCGCGAACCGTGGGACACTCTGTATATATTTTTTTTCAATTTTCAATCAACTCAAACGCCCTGTATATGAAAATTCAATCTTGTTATTGTCATTAAAGTCACAGTTTGAGGAATGGGTATACGAGCGCGCGCTTATCATTCTAAGGGATCTCTCGCTTTGCTAGAACTCCGAACGCCATGAAGGTAACGGCATGACGTCACCCACTTTAAAATAAATAAATAATCCAAGTATTCGTTTCCAATACGAGCGCGCGCTTATCATTCTACGGGATCTCTCGCTTTGCTGGAACTTCGAACGCCATGAAGCGAGACAGCGTTGCCACACACAATAATGTAACAATATTAACATCCAAACACATACGTCCGACAACGTTACAGCGCCGAGCGCTCGAGCCTTACTCTACCTCGATAGATCCGTTGCAAAGATAAGCGCGCGCCAGCGATGGATATTATTTTCGACGCGAAGTTTCTTATCTCTGGAATGCATCTCTCGCTTCACTCTACCTCGATGGATCCGTTGCAAAGATAAGCGCGCGCCAGCGATGGATATCCCGTTTGAATAGCATTAAAATAATTGAAATATCACGGAGGTCGGAATACCACAGTGCGTATATACGCTGCCTCATAATGCAAAGGTCCCTGGTTCAATTCCCCCCCAGCGGTGACAGCTTTTTTTAATTTATTTATCCACGATGGCGACGTGACGCCGTATGAATAATTTGAATTTCGCGCTGGTTTTTAGTGGGCGTGGCCTCCAACCAAATGCTGGCCTCTGATTGGCTTGAGCTGGTACATACATAGCCCTTCTACTTACATATAGTTGATGACAGTGCGAACAGGGAGATATGCTTCATGATTGTCACTGTAAAATGATATAAAATTATGTTATAAATTTATAGCATATTAAATTGTTGTCTTTGGCTTGTGATTGGTCAGACTATGTGATGAGTGAAATAGTCCAACAAATAACGCAAGAAAAAAATAAAAATAATATTCCAACATTTCTGTTTTTTCATATATCTCCGGAAATACTCGGAATTTGAAAATTCTCTCGGAGCCATATTTTTAGTCACATGAATGCGTAACTTTGCTCTAATTCAATCATCTTCGTATCTTCTATAGTTTCCGAGATCCCAATGGTAGCCCTCGAATTTGAATTACCCAGATTTTTATTGGATATATATATACAGGGTGTCTGTGAAAGGTTGGGACATGGCTTGACTGTGGACTCCTGAAAAAAAAAAAACAAGTTTATTTAGGCCAACTTACCTATATCCAAAATCGTATCGTTGCGTTGGTACAAGGCGTTGAAGTTTTTTTGGATAAAAATAATTTTACTCATAAAAAAAGTAGGCTGAGATCGATTTTCATAATTTTTGGCATGGCATGTTCTGTGACTGTGAGTCACGTTTTGAGATGTTCTTGATCATCATAAGTGACCTGCAAGTGCTTCAAACAACCATGTTGCCGTACAAATTTCGTGATAACTTTCCAGATGTCTTACTGGAAACTTCCAGTTTTTGTTCAGAAAGATATTCCATTCAGAAATATTTTTTGCATCGTGTTAATTTTTCGAGGTTCATTGGCAAATAAATAATTTCTGATAATATGATGCATCCTGCGCATTTTTGAAAATTAATCTAATTACTCGGACTGTTTATTGATCATGGTTACAATGTGAACAAACTGATATGTTGCTGGTCATCGCGAACTTTCAAGAACTCACGCGTTACAAATTTAGCGATAACTATTCAGGACCTAAGGTGATCACTTTAACGCCTTGTACCAACTCAACGAAACGATTTTGGATATAGGTAAGTTGGCCTAAATCAACTTGTTTTTATCCCTGCCGAGCCATGTCCCAACCTTTTACAGACACCCTGTATAGAAAAGACACACCAAAGAAAAAACATTTTGATCTATGTAACATTTTTTGAGTAACTATGTATGTTCAATAATCAAAATTGGGGCGATATTTGTAGTTAGCTATTTGTCTGAGGGTAGTACATTGTAATTTATTTTGTGCATGCTGTAGATTTGCAATATTGGGGTCACTTTGAGATATTCAAATTCCTAATATTTTTTTTATATTCATAATGAATATTATTCAATAAAAAACATAGCATTTTTCTTTTTTGTTTTTGTGAGGTACAATTATTATACTTTATAAATTCCTTTTCCAGTCAGAAGTTTGTTTTGATAAGTATACCGGATGACAACATATTCTTGAGACAAGTCATAAGTTTCAGTTATAGGAGTATGACAATCAAACTTGGCAAGTTTCGTGATTATCAGAATAATTATCATCAATCTGACCAAATTTGAATTTCATACCCTTCACTCTGGAAAATATGGCTTGTGTGAAAGATACTTTGTCACCCTGTATAATGAGTCGAAACAATATCAAGTATTCTCATATCTTGATATTATCTAACTCTTATTTTGTCTCACTTCAATAATTGTTAATGTGATATTCAGATTCTTATATGATTATATACATATAGCTTGGGTATCTCTCATTACCAAATTTAATTTCAGGTGCAAAATTCAAAATTTTTAGGCCACCAACAAAATATACAGGGTATTTCACAAAATTGAGTTTTTTTTTCAATATTCTATATAAATCGTGTAATCATTAAAAAAAACATCATTGGTTAACAATGTGTTCAAGATTTATCTAATGTTTGACGAAATATAGTCGTAATTCTTGTTCTTGAGGTTTGGCTTGTACAATTTAACAGAGACATATTGAAATTATATAAAAATGTATTCTGCATGAGGGATTGTTCTGTGATACACTTTTTGTCTGATGCTGTTTTTATAATTTAATGATACGATATTTTCAATAACGTTTTCTCGGTCATCCTGTATATTTTAGTAGAAAAGTAGACAAGTAGCTATATTTATTTTGGGAATTCTTAGATTTTGTGAATAACCCCGTGAAAATTACATGAGCTATTCTGTGAAATAACTATCATATACGTCGATCCAAATTTTGGAGAATCATATTATATCCACCATTTGTCGAGATATGGTTGTCATATCAATCCTGAAATCTAATTGAGTGGTTTTTCTATCTATCTATCTATCAGAGAGAATGATAGTGTTCTTGTGATGTTTAAAGAAGAACTCATCATCTTGCATACTGTTACCTTTTTTATATCTCTTGGAGCGCACGAAAGGAAATTCCTATTAGGGAGGATGAAGAGGTAGGTGTTGGATTTTTATTTTAACTTTTGGATGTTTTAAGTTGGGAATACTTCCATTGACAAAGAATTCCAAATCTTCGCCGTTCTATGGACTATTGAGAATCAAAATGGTAGCCATATGAACCCAATGTTGAATCATGACAATTCATGTTACAACTAGTGGTTGTATGAAATCTCAAATTGACACTTCTGTTCATTTGACAACTCTTTTAATATTCAGAAGGTGAGCGAACAGACACCATATTGAAAGGAAATTACAAAAAAATTTCAACGTTTTCACCTTTATGGACCAAATGGTGTTTCAAATATCTGGGAATCAAGTGCAAAGTAGTGTACCTTGATGGATTTCCTCATATTAGAGTACGGACACTCGCCATCAAGATGTGACAGTTATACATAATCACAAACATTTTGGAGCAGATCAAATAATTTTTCAAACAGGGACATGTATAATTATTGTATATGCTTATCGTTAAGATGAGGGCTTCTTTTATCTTCCTCTACATATTCAAAGTTCATCTATTTGAGTTTTCAAGTAATATTCACATCAATAAAACAAGATATAATATGAATATAATATAATCAGCATCAGCTCACAATAAATTTCCAAATCCAAACAAAATGACTACGATTATCAAAATTATGGAGCACCTGATGGAAAAGTATTGAATATTCACCATAAACTACCAAAAAATGTATGTACCCATTTCGTACTTCGTTTCTATTTCTGCGATATGAATTTATTTAATGAAGAATTCAAATTTACTGAATATATTGTTATCAGTTTTCTCAACCTCACAAACTTTAATCTGGCGTCATGTACGTTCATGAACTCTCAGTTCTCGCTTTTTCATTAATTTTTAGTGGTTATGTATAACTGTCACTGCTTGTCAGAGTCTCCGTCTCAATACAAAAACGTCAAAAACACGTCAAACCCATGGACTTATTTTCCCAAGGAAACAGAATTATTTGCGAGTTCCTTCGATTCCATCATAGAGAAGGGAATTTCGCTCGAACAGCTACAACATTTCTCGTGGTCATTGCGTAGCGGTATGGCCACAAAAGTTTCTCGTAGTTTTGAATAGTAGCTCGCATTACTCTATTCGGTATGAAATGTTTCATTGTGAACTGTACACAAAACAAACAGCCTTTTGAAGAAGATATTGGGTCTTCTTGGAATAATAAGTCCATGGTCAAATCCATCTAGGTGAGTTGCACTATCGTATATGATAGTTATTCGTGGTCGACAACGACGGTTAAACTTTTCGGTTCGCTCAGGACGCACAGTGGCGCCCGAGGCAGAAAACAATCGTCCGTCGCCGCAACCGAGCAAGGAGCCCGGCGAAACCAGTTCTGTCACCGAAGATGACAATGACAGCGAGGATGACAGCGACAGCAGAGAGGCCCAGTATCGGTGCTCCCATTGCTTCACCACAAGTGAGTCTAATTATTTTGAAAAGGTGTATGAGTTGAATTTTCTAAAATCATCGGGACTTCTAGGTGTTCAAATGAAATATAGGAATAGAAATAAAAATTGTTTATTTTTCACTAAAATTTTCACATAATACACAATTACAAAACTAAATACATGAGAAAACTTATTGGCCTAGTCAAAAGGGTGAAAATCGAAAACACAAATGTTCGATCTTGAACAAATTTAAAAAAAACTACATGTGTATAAAAGAAACTATCTAGGCACTGAAAGCAAGAAATTCATCCATACTGTAGAAGCAGTTATCCAACAAGAAACCATATAGTTCATTTCTCATTAAAGTTCTACTTTTATTGATCCCAATGAAGGTTGTTATTTTATTGAAGCATTTGATACCCAAAATTTTGAGGAATTCTGACTCGCACTCAAGCGAGAGTAGAGTATCTTCACCCCGAGTAGCGTAATTATGTATATCAGAGTTTTTTGGATATAGGCGTTTATTATCATAGAAGAATAACACTAGCTGTAATATCTAGAGACAGGGCAATGGTAAGATGCTGAATTTTTCAAATAGTGGTGAATTTTCAAATTCAGAGCTTTGATTATCGTGTTATGAATAGGTATTCATTCAAAATGATGCTTTTTTTCGACGATTAATTGAATGAAATTGGAAGCTGGAATTCTTTTTCGAAGAATCAACGTTGTATGTATAGTCGTCGGATATGTGATTGTGTTCGAACACAGAAAATTCTGAAGAAGTCTATACAAAGTGATACAAGAAATACTGAATGATGGAATGGAGAATAACGTAGTCTTCAGTAGGTGAAACATAATTTTCTCTGTGTTACTAGTGAAATAATGGAGTGTTACTTCGTCATGAGGATGTCTGGTGTCTGACCTCGAAATGGTTTTGTAATTTCTCGGATCGAAGGTCATATAATGAAGGTACACATTTTTAATCAAAATGATGCATTTTTGTTAAGATAAATTATGAAATTCAAAAAATTACGATTGTAGTCCCAGAAGTATGAAATTCATATTTTTATTCTTGACGATGGATGTACAAGGTGCGATAAAAAATATGTCCAGATTGTCCTATGAAGAAGAATATGTTTAAACGTGATGAAAATCGCCGAAGAAGAAATATATAGTGTCGGTCATTGTCGAAAATTGTGAAATGTATGAATACAGTAACTTTTTATGATGCTTATACGAGGTAATATATACAGGATGTTCCATTTAAATATTCAGAACCGGATCCATTTCCGGTGGAATCAAAAGTGACCGTATCTAATAGATATACGTTGACACCCAGTATATGTAGATTATCTCATGTACATATTTTCGAAATTTATTACAATTCCAACTCTTTTGAATATTTGTGTTTCTTTGTGATTTCTTGGTGAATAATTGATCGACTGATTGCCATGAGAAATATTTGTTGAACGCTTTGACATACTACACATAATATATTGAAATAACAGTACTCATATTTTTATTTCATAGAAACGAGGAAAGAAAATCCCAAATGAAGAGAAATATTGACCTTGATTAATTCCTAATTGATACATACCAAATTTGAATTTGGTTCATGTTGTACATACAAATCTTGAACGTGAACCCAATAAGAGTCCAGTGGACGAGCCTTGTCCATACAGCGAATGACTCCTTTTTGAACCATAAAAATGCGGTTAGTATATGCAGAGTTACCCCAGAAGATCAATCTATACTGTAGCCTAGGTTGTACCAGTCCATAATTTATGAGTTAACTTCTGTAATTGCGTAGTTTGAACTGCCAACTTTTACACATAATATGTTGCTATGTGCCTCCCATGTTAGCTTTCGATCCAGAATTATTCCTAAAAATCTAGCTACCTGACAGTATTCCAGAGTTTCCCCACACATATTGATGTTGTTCATTAGATCTGGGTTTGAGGTACCGTTTTTGGGTAAGAAATTGATAAAATTGGTTTTCTTCATGTTGAAGACGAGGTCATTGTTGCTACAGTATTTACGGAATTCATCGCATGCATAATCACCCAAGTTTACCAGTTTGTCTAAGTTTTTATGGGCTAGTAGTATATTTGTGTCATAATAAAGATAAACACCGTTATTCATTCATAAATCATTGAAAATTATACGCCAACAATTCTAAATGCCAAACACGGATGTATGAATCACATCGCGAATGGTCGGGATAAACTTTGCGAAATCATTGCCAGAGAACTGATATGTTTTATAGATATATCTTATATATCTAATGAATCGGGATTTATTGAAGATATTTGATATCTTCAATATTTCAAACACGCTTTTCATCAACAGATGCAAGCAATTTGATAATGTATTTTCTCTTTCTTTTCAAATATTTTTGTCCTCAGCATGACTTGTGTGAAGTCTAAATTCCCGTTTGACTAGTCTGATAAGTTTCTGTACTACTTTGTGTGAAAACTTCAATGATGAATAAATTATCTATCTATCTATCTAGCTATCAAACAAGATCACTGGTCCAAATTTTTACGTTCCTGTGAAATATCAGGTCAGGATATTTGTAACTAACTTTTCTTCACAGATTTGACACATCTGAACCATTCACAAAATATTCTGCTTTAGATTCATGGTGAATGAGTTACTGAAACAACAAAAACGACAAATGACATTTGTCACAACGATTATTGTTCGTCTACTACTAAACTTTACGGTGCCACCACGTACATATTTTTTATTTTGTTATTCACTTTTCAATAACTAGAGTTTACAATTGTCAGTAGTGAATTTCCTCAGGTCTGGCTGAACATGAAGTTACTACTGAAATATGAATAGGGAACATCTAATTGCTTTTGTATCAAAATTGAAATCTTCGCTGACTATTTGCATTTCCTTTATTGATTTCTTAATGTTTCGAAATTCAATTGAAAACGCTCCATATGTGTAACCCTCTTGGTTTATAGTGATATGTGTGAAAAAACTGACTTTTCCTTTTTTCAACGAGAAAGTGATACCAACCTTTTCATTACCAATTTGTGGACAATATTGTTCTCTTGTTCTAGATTCCAGAGATTGGCAACCAGGCGGAAAAGATAAACAATTGCTTTGTTATGAGTGCAGATCTCATTACAAGAAGACCAACGAACTGCCACCTTTAACTGCTCCTGCTGCTCCTGGGAAAGATCCGAATGCAGGTCAGCACAATATTGATAACTAGCAAGAGTTCACTTCTGTTTGTTTCAAGATGACCTCACAAAAAATGTATCTCGATTTCGATTCTTTATCGAGGTACATCGAAGAAATTTCTACTCTCTGACCTTTTAAATTACATTTTCTAATATGCATAGTGGTCCTCCACTACAAGCCTTACCGGTGTCGCTACGTTTATCTATAATTGATTCTCATTCTTTATAATTCTTTTGTATCTCAGAGTAAGCAAAGTTTTCAATCATTTGTCGGACCATTGTCGTTCTAAATAAAAACCACGTTAGTGGGCTGTTAATTGACCCGAAATTTGTCTGCCTATCACTGGCGCTAGTTTATTGACAACATCGAGAACTCAGTTGTTTTATTAGCATATTTGTCAAGGCTGAGGCAAGGTTAATTGTTTTTTTTTGCTGTTTGATTTTGTTATTTCATTTAGCACTTCTACAAGAGGCGTTGGCTTATTTTTTACATTTGCAAAAAAATTAGCACCATCGTCGTTATGGACCAAATACTCGATGCTTCGCTCGACTATTCACTTTTATAAAAAAATCGAAATTTCAAAATATGGTAAACTAACGAGTTTTTTGAAAAGCAAATCCCAGGGATAAAACCAAAGAAGTCCAAGACATTAGAACGATCTGAAATAGAAAAGTTTAGGACGAAGCTCCCGATGGCAAGTACTTGTTGATGAAAGTGGCTTTGATATTGGAGACTAGCGGTGCTTGTAGATGCGATGAATTGGTCAATTTGAAAATAGAAAATATTCAAGACAAATGGCCACATTTTCACGTAGTTTTGCCAGACACTAAAACAAAGAAATCGACGAGTTTCACCATACTTGAAGAAGGATTTCCAGTCAACCCGATCAATTTGTGTAAAAAATACATGTCTTTGAGACCCTAGAATACTAGTTCAAGCCGCTTTTTTGTTTTTTACAAAAATGGGAGGTGTACCAGCCAGTGTGTGGGAATAAATACGTTGTCGAATATACCTTCAAGTTTTTTAACTTGGAGGAACCATCGCTCTACACCGGTCACTGCCTGAGAAGATCTTCGGCGACTCTTTTGGCTAATGCAGGGGCTAACATCACGGGGGATGGAAGTCCTCGACGGTAGCAGAAGGATACCTAGAAGAATCGGTGCATAACAAAATACAAATTGCAGAAAAAATGCAAGGTTCTAATGTTTCGGCGTCTTCCAGCACTATCAGCAGCTGTACCGATATGGGAGCATCTGGTTCCAATGAACCAACGAATTTTACAATTACTTCAAATTCGAATGAAGCGTTAGCGTTTTCCTTTAATTTCAATATCAATGTGAATCCTGCTCGTAATAGTATTAAATAAATGGAATACTACTTTAAATAGTGTCACGATCCCTGGCTTCCTGATGGGATAAGACCACTGGATCATCTCTGAGGGTTGCTCAGATAGGGTAGATTATATATAACTAAACTGATTAACGTGCTAACCGACTGTACAAATCGACAGTTTGCACCACCGACAGCAACTATTCAAATACCGATCATCAACTGCCTCCTGGAATATCCACAAATCTATATTTATCTGAAATCTGAAGTACTGTTATTGTGTAGGTAATTCTTGGTACGTTGCTGTTGGAGGTTACTCAGTCGTTTAGGTTGTTGATTAGTCAATGCCCAAACGTGTTCCAAATGTTTATAAACTTTCGGTGCGATGGAAGAAGCACGATTTGGAAATTATGAAAATATTGAAATGATTTCGATTATAATTTTGGAATAATTACTCAATTGGGACAATATGAACGTGAGTTATAATCCATAACTAACTAGTGAGTTATGTGTGCTATCTGATAGTTTACTTGTCTAAAATGACATTATTAATGTTAGTTATAACTGTCATGTGTTGGGTAAATGAATAAATAAATATTTAATAACGCCAGAAAGCCCCGACGAATCCCCACAACGCATGCGCACCAGAAACAAAGCGAAAGAACAGACGACGAACCGAGCTCGCCCGAAACGAGGCGGTACGGAAACGCCCGAGCCCAAAACGCCGGTCAAACAGAACGGCAACCCCTCGGAGAAAACCACCCCGAACCAAACCGCCAAGAAGAAGATCAAACCGGATACGCCGAACAAGAACAGGAAGCGGCAGCAGGTAGGGTTGGGAACATATTATCACTTCCAGTTATGACATGAACTCTCACTTGGAATTTTCATGAACTATACAGGGTGTTTCAGACTTGAATGTACACACGATACTTGCAGATAGAGGACACTTTGGATTGATGTGTCTAACGTCTTTCATAACTGAGATACAGGACGTTATCTTGATTTTGGCAAAATCTTCATCTGGTCATAACTTTTGAACGACTTCGTATAATCTATTCATACTTGGTGAAAATATTCCACTTATATTACACATCAAAACTAAATAGAAATCGAGATCAGAATCCAGGTCCGTTTTAAGGAAAAACAGAAAACTTGTTTTATTTCGAAAACAACACTCTGTATGGCAGAAGTTTGTGAATCTGTTTCGATATTTGGGAAGAGCGGAAGAAAATGATTAAAGTAAACTACTTTTTTCGAGTGTGCATTCCATTTGACCGATGGTTTATTATTATGTTTTGAAATATTCAGATCCATTTCGAGGCATTTTTATTGAACTAGTGATTCAAAATCCAATTTTGAAATGTAACAACCCAATATACAAGCACCAACAATTATTTCAACGTTACCAGTAATATCACACTATAGTAATTAGGAACTGTAAGAATATTAGAATTTTTTGCACAGCTCACTTTACCGCAGGACATAAGAGTGAAGAATAAAACGAGCCCTCAAAAATGTCTAAAACCACAGACAAGTTATTCTGTCTAACGAACAAATCAATCGATAGTTAACCTAATTTGACTCTAATGATGTTGATCTTCAAGGACTGTTTTTTTTTTTTGTAAAAGAATTTAATTCTATAATTGAAATTTCAAAATCGGAAATTTTCATTCGGAAATTTCAATCGTACCAACGCTTGCAGCAGGAGAGCAAATCCGATGAGGTGGATAGTGAGGAGAAGGAGTTGAAGAAGAAGAGAGAGAGACCGGAGAGTCCGAGCAGCGTCACTACGGACTCGGAAACTGTCAATGATGACGTGGAGAATGCGGAGAACGACGGCGATAGTGTCGACGCTAATCCGGTCGCTTTGACTACTGTGATGCCATCTGTGAGTTTAATCATTCATCTTCGAAACTATCAGTACCCACGTTGAATTGCTCTCAACGTGACATTTACAAAAAAAAAATGATTTTGGAGATACTAATTATCTACTAATTACTCGAAAAACGTAAGATTCCATGTTACATTGATGAACATAAAAAATCAGATCCACTAGGATTGCAAGAAACATGCGAAAATAGGTTGTTCTCAATAATGAAGGGTATTTTTTTGCATTTTCTGAGAACTTACCATGGTAATGTATATATTTTTCACACCATCAAAAAGAAGAGATTTCAAAGATAAACAGCCCATCGACTTTTTTGAAAAAGCGCATATCATGACCAGATAATTTTCGATTGAGCTCAAGGGTGCTTTTTCAATATTATATCGATAAGGGTGCTTTTACGATATTATATCGAAATAAGGTGAAAAAATTCATATTTCAAATGAAAGAATTGACCAATTTTCACCAAATTTCGTGAGATTTTCTTTCGTAAAAGAAAAATATAAAACAAAAATCAAGGTTAGTTGAATTTTTGATATAAATTTATATAAAAGTTAGAGATCGTTTTATTGCCTACAACTTTGGCATTCAACATTTTTTCATAGGCCTTGTAGTTTTGCTGGAAATCGAGATAATCCGTTTTTCACTCTTGAAAGCTCATCCCACCTCAGATCGCCCGTAATTCATTTCCCCTTTCATCTTTGTTATATTCTCTTCCTCTTCCAATGGGTTTCATCGTACTATATTTTTTTATGACAATGGTATATACTTTGAACTAACAAGTAAGTTACTTTTCACGGTAAATGAACACCAGAAGATAATTCACCGCCTTTGAGAACTGAAAATGTTCAAAGTCGATTTTCTCAAAACTAAGAATTTTCCAATTGTTCTCAACGTGCGAGAAAAAACGATGTTACATTCATCAATCCATAGCCATTTATTTCCTTTCAGCTCACCACCACAACTACCACCACCATAAACACTAACACCACCACCAACAACAATAACAACATCGTGCTACAAGAACCCCCTATCAAACCGCCCACTAAATCGGAACCGCCCAGTCCTCCCGAAACCCAACCCCTAATCCGTCAACCCTCACCCCCACCCCACATACCAGTCCTAAACCCCGCCAAAATACATTCGGAAACCACGCCCCTCAACGGCAAAATACACTCGGAAGCCACGCCCCTCAACGTCAAACTACACCCGGAAGCCACGCCCCCCAACGTCAAACTACACTCGGAAGCCACGCCCTTGAACGTCTCGATCCGCCTACCGGACGACCTCAACGAGAGGAAGAACCTCATCAACCTCAAAGACGTCAAGATCGGGCCTCCGGACACCTCGAAGTTCGATCCGGACACCACGAAGTTCCATCCGGACACCTCGAAGTTCCATCCGGACACTTCGAAGTTCCATCCGGACACTTCGAAATTCCATCCGGACAGTTCGAAGTTCCATCCGGACACCTCGAAGTTCGATCCGGAGGTGGGGAAGGGCGATGCGGGGGGCAGCGGGTGTTTTCGGGGGGAATTCGAGAAGGAGGGTGGGTTGGGGGAGGTAAAGGCGGAAGCCGAGGACCAGGTGCAACAGGTGGGTTGATTCGTCGCTGTTTGAGGGAGATGTTAAAATCAGACAAAATAACAATAGAATGGACACAGCGATTCATTCATATACAATTAAAAAGTATACGCCAATAATCGTTAACTCCAAACACATTCATATAAATGAATGACATCGCTAATGGACTGCGGAATCGTTACTAGATAATGATTTTTTAAAACATCATAGTGAGATCTACAGTGTCATTCATAAAGTCGGCATCATATGGGAACATCTTTTAATGATAATTTATTTTGAATTTCGACTGGTCGTCAAGTTTTGCTTCAAAAAAGATGAAAAATGGCATACTCGGACGGAGACACGTGACTCGCTACCTGTCAAAAGTCACATTTTTTCAAATCAATCGCTGAAAATGGGCTTATTTGTTCGAATTTTAGAAAAGTTTACTGAGAAAAGTTGTTTCTATTTCAATTTTACAGATGTATCTCAAAAGTGATCGTTCTAATGCAACTTTTGGTTCTTGATATTTTTTTATATCTTCTGATTGTAACATCTACAAGGATCTCCTTCAAAAATTATCTTTCATAAAAAGCCATCGAGCCACCCCCTTTCCTTTCGAAAAAATCAAGTTAACTGGAAAAAATCATATTCGCGGCTTTTAAATGATTTTTAAAACGACTGTGTGACTGAAGTGATAAGCCTCAATGTCATATTTTTCCCATTTTATTTGATCAAGAGTGAAGCGATTCACATGATCCACGGCATTCTAGATCGATAGGTAAACATTGAAATAAAATGATTTCATTCGTCAAATATTGACAAGTGAGTAATTTGTCGATTCAGAATGTCATTCTCGATCGAAATTAGTAAAAATATACAGGGTATCCCATATAAAAATCGAGAGTTGAGATCATTTCCGGTCAAACCGGAAGTACGGCAAGGCAAGTCAATATGTAAAAACATGTTAATGGAACTATAATCAACAACCCCGAAATTTCGTTTTTTCATCTTCAATAATAAAAAAGTTATAGGGGTGGGAGCAAACGATCAGTATATCATAAATTCTTGCGCCATGTGTAGATGATGTGGACATTCTATCACTAAAAAATATCAAAATACTTAAGGTAGATTCATGCAACCCAAATTTAAAACTCGAACCAATAATATAAAACTATGAAATGTAGGTGCTCATGCAAGAAACTAAAAAATTAAAACTAAAATTGAAACTACGAAAGATGGCCAATATTCAACTAAAAAATTAATTTCTTTCATCGCCAAATAATAACTAGTCGCACTGGAAAAAGATTAAACAGCTGATTTTTGATTTTAAATTCGTTTAAATCTTGTATTCACTATAATTTAGTTGATGTTGCATGAATCCACCTTTATAGATTTGGGTTTTTTTACGCTTGTTGGTTATACTACTTTCAATCACGTAAATCGGGTTTAATTGATCGCTATTAATTATTTTGGGGCATCGCACAGGTCCCAGAAAAAGCGTTCAAGACGGAGCTGATCATACCGAAGGTGCATACGATGGAGAAGCCCTTGATCAAGGAAGAAACGGACAGTTCGAACGAGGCCATCAATTTGAATTCGTTGAACATCAACGTGAATCCCAAGGATGATAGTATTTATAAGGAGAACGCTTATAAGGAGAACCCTTACAAGGAGATGGCTTATAAGGAGAACGCTTACAAGGATAATCCGTTCAAGGAGCATCCTTATAAAGAGCATCATTATAAGGAGCATCCTTACAAGGAGAATTCGTACAAGGATAACCTGTTCATGCCTCAGAACTTGAATATGAAGGATCCGCTCATATTCGGCATCAAGGATCCGCAATATAATCATATGCAGGTAATGAAATTGTGGAATTGTGGATTCAAATATTTTGTTAGAGTTAGCATAACTATGCAGTATTCATTAATTTCTGGGATCGGTGAATATACCTATCTGCGAAAAAATTGCTCAGTGAAAATTGTTCCTGATATTCAAGGATGGCTTTTTCCCAAACTGTTCATCTGATTTTGTCGATTTATTTCCTCTAGGTAACTAATCCTTCAGGTTGGGAAGTAGGATATGTAGACAAGCCAAGGTTAGTTTAGTTCATCGTACCAGTATATCACCTGACGAAGCTACTGTGTTAGCGAAACAAGTCGTGTGTTTGAGAGTTTTGTGAAAATCTTATCGTTTGTGAACTATTCACATTTTCCATGGATTTCCATAAAGTAACGGCCGAGTCAATTCGAAATCCTACAAAAGTATCAAAAATCGGTCGCTATCCTAAATCATCATCGTGTTTCAGTCGAAACACGGGCTCAACCTGAAAGAGCCGCCCATCGAGAAGCACAAAGAGCAAGTAGTTCAAATGAACCACTCGAGCTTCGTGCCGAAAATGAAGCCTTAACCGCATCTAAATTTGAAAATCACTGCTCCCAATCTCTGAAAATAACTGCCACAAAAGTATTAAAAAACGGTAGCCATCCTAAATAATCATCGTGTTCCAGTCGAAACACGGGCTCAACCTGAAAGAGCCGCCCATCGAGAAGCACAAAGAGCAAGTAGTTCAAATGAACCACTCGAGCTTCGTGCCGGAAATGAAGCCGGAACCGCTCTAAATTTGAAAACCACGGCTCCCAATCTCTGAAAATAACTGCCACAAAAGTATTAAAAAGCGGTAGCCATCCTAAATAATCATCGTGTTTCAGTCGAAACACGGGCTCAACCTGAAAGAGCCGCCCATCGAGAAGCACAAAGAGCAAGTAGTTCAAATGAACCACTCGAGCTTCGTGCCGGAAATGAAGCCGGAACCGCCCTACGGTTACCAGCCACCGCCCGCGCCCACCAAGGACCCCAACGCCACCACGGCCGTCACCATCGACAGCGTGAACAACACGGTGATCAAGCTGGAGCCCAGGGAGGAGCCCATGGAATTGACCAGCCAGAGCAGGATGGAGAATCAGGGTTACGGGGTCATGCCTCAGCCGCTGAATATACCTCAAGTGATACCGATGTCGCAGAATTTGCCGCAGAGTATGAGACAGGAAGGTGAGAATAACAATGTTCTGAAGATTCTCAAAGGCACATTCTACTATTGATTATTTACACTTGCAAGATGGTTCGTATATGACGCTAGGGAGACTCAGCAGAATAACCTTTCTTACGCTGGGAAGTCAGGTACTTTAATATTCTGACTTAGTAATGAAAATTCAGGCCTGATGCAACATTTCTTCTTGCATTTAAACATCTGAAAATAAAATTATGAATTTTGAATTACCGATCACTACCTTTTGCTACTTTAACAACAAAAAGTTACCGCAACCTACAGAATAGAATTTCTGGCTTAATTGCTCTTATAACCATTGTCTTATTGATAGCTGAGGACTGAAGTACATAAAATTAAATATGTTTATTCTTGAATAGCACACCAAGAAGTACTGTCGGTTCATTCGTTCGCTTATTATATATTCCCATTGACAAGTTGTTCCCTACCATGAAATACATCAAAAACAGGATTGACAAACCAAAATAAAGCGACACTGTCGACTTTGACGTTTGTCGTTGAATAAATTCTGGTTTTTGTCGAATGTTCTTCGGCCATTGTTGTGAAATTTTCGGATGTCGTTTGAAAATTGATTAGAGTAAATAGAGTAACGATGGTAATGACCAGTCAGAGTAAGATGGAGGGTTACGAGAGCATGCTTCAGCCGCTTTACTTACCTCGAATGACACCGATATAAGATATAAAAAAAATATTCCACTCTCCTATCACTTATGTGTGACAATGGACTATTGAACATATCGTGGGTGTACAAGCAGAATTGAATTGACAATTGAATATTCGAATCAACCTGTAAAATTATAACGAAATTAGACTTAAGTGGATTTTCATTGACTATATCTCCGGAAACAAACGCAAAATGGACTTGAATGTTTATTTGCCTGGAGCGTTACATTAATATGGACTTATGTGTGATAAATTCCTCATTTCCGAAAAAAGTGGACTTACAGGGTTCTGCTTGTACGCCCACGATATATTGTTTGAGTGTCCATTTTATTGTGCAATGAAACCCCAAGATCTCGACTATCTATCCAATCTTGATAATCTCGTCTATTCTCTTGATAATATCTCCGCAAAATCTGCCAAGGTCATTTCCAACTATATCTGGAACATCTTGAGACTCCGTTCTTTGGTGATAAATGAATGAGTTTTACCTCACCATACACCATGTTCTTTCTCTACTTGATGATGATTATTTTTGTCTGTATTTTTTGTATTTGCTTATAACTTACTCTTTTATTCCATATGTTACTTATGTTAGCACCTGTACATCCGAACCCTTGCTATGAAATGTATATTTTTGAAGCAATAAATGTATTCTATTCTATAACTTATACGTGACAATATTTCCCTCACCTCTCGAGCAGGTCACTACGACGAAGAAAAAAGGATCGAGAAACTCGAACGCCCTGAGCGCATCGACAGACCGGACGGCTTCGACCGTACCGACCGCCCCCCGGAAATGGCCACGCCCATCGGCCCCGCCCCCATGGGGCAACCACCTATCGGTTCCGCCCCCATAGGGCAACAACCCATCGGGCAGGCGTCTATTGGCCCCACCCCCATAGGGCAGCCGCCGCCGCTGCCCAGCCTGATGCAGTCGGGCAATCTGGTGACGATCGGCGGGTCGTCGCAGCCCGCGCAGATAGGGCATTACGGGTTCATGCCGCCCTTCGGCCACCCGCAGAGCCCGCGCGACAAGGGACAGAACGAGCCGCAGAACTTGAAGATCAAGCAGGAGATGCCCGAGGCTGGGCCGCCCAGTCACCTGGGCGGGCTGAACAGGTACTGTTTGACATTTCTTTGTGCTATGGGTCATTTTTCGAGAAGGGGACAATATGATGTAACTACTTTGCGAAAAAATATACAGTGTACATCATGAGTGTTACCCCCCCCCCCTCTATTTAACTCGTCACGTGACTCTTGGTAGGAAAATCGCCGTGACCCGTCGATTTTCGATTTCTACAGTGTACATTTTCGTTGGAATAGTTCACTCCTAATTCCATCCCTTACTGGAGGGGAGCAACCCTGTCAAAAAATTTAAATAGCATGGGGTGATGAGTGATAGCTCATTTGAAAGGGGGTTTTTATTGTCTATAAAACAGAAAATTGAAATTCCAAATGAGTTTTTACTAATTAAACAACATGTATTCAAACAATAGAACAAGTAACAAAACCAAACGTTAACTTCATATTACAAAAGGTAACAAATCATACTCAGTTGAATTACTAATTGTTGGAAATCTCCACGGTTAACTTCAATGCAGGTAGCAATTGTTCAAAAAATTCACCATGATTTTCAACATTTTCAAGAAACCAGTACCTACCTTGATGAATAATATAAATTTTTTGAATCAAAACTTATTTAACTTCGAGACTTCAATTGCTGGGGATCCTTGATTTTGTAAATCGATTATATTGTTCATTCTTATCAGTCCCTCCAATCATATATTATTTTCCAACCCCTTCTCAAGAATTTATCTTTATGACAGCCAGTGATATTTCTTGATGAATTCAATTATTTCTTCATACCTATACCATATTGTTGTGATAGCTGATTCCTTTTGGTTCCATTCCAATCCACGCAAGTGTTGAGTGGAATTGTAATGTGACATCAATGTCCACATTGAAATGGCAATATATCTGCACAAAAAGTTATATTTTCCATACTGGAAAGCATACAAGTATATTACAGAGAGAAATTAACGTCATCCTATTCTGCATATAACGAGCTATTCATGAAAGTTGCAAAAATCGCAAAAATGCCTGAAAATTGCAAAAATCGCAAAAATGCCTGAAAATTGCAAAAAATCGCAAAAATGACTGAAAATTGCAAAAATCGCAAAAAATTCCTGAAAATTGCAAAAATCGCAAAAATGCCTGAAAATTGCAAAAATCGCAAAAAATGCCTGAAAATTGCAAAAATCGCAAAAATTCCTGAAAATTGCAAAAATCGCAAAAATTCCTGAAAATTGCAAAAATCGCAAAAAATCATGAAAGTTGCAAAAATCGCAAAAATGCCTGAAAATTGCAAAAATTGCAAAAATGCCTAAAAATTGCAAAAATCGCAAAAATGCCTGAAAATTGCAAAAATCGCAAAAATGACTGAAAATTGCAAAAATCGCAAAAATTCCTGAAAATTGCAAAAATCGCAAAAATGACTGAAAATTGCAAAAATCGCAAAAATTCCTGAAAATTGCAAAAATCGCAAAAATTCCTGAAAATTGCAAGAATCGCAAAAATGCCTGAAAATTGCAAAAATCGCAAAAATGACTGAAAATTGCAAAAATCGCAAAAATTCCTGAAAATTGCGAAAATCGCAAAAGTTCCTGAGAATTGCAAAAATCGCAAAAATGCCTGAAAATTGCAAAAATCGCAAAAATGACTGAAAATTGCAAAAATCGCAAATTGCCTGAAAATTGCAAAAATCGCAAAAATGACTGAAAATTGCAAAAATCGCAAAATTTCCTGAAAATTGCAAAAATCGCAAAAAATTCCTGAAAATTGCAAAAATCGCAAAAAATCATGAAAGTTGCAAAAATCGCAAAAATGCCTGAAAATTGCAAAAATCGCAAAAATCCTGAAAATTGCAAAAATCGCAAAAATTCCTGAAAATTGCAAAAATCGCAAAAATTCCTGAAAATTGCAAAAATCGCAAAAATGACTGAAAATTGCAAAAATCGCAAAAATGACTGAAAATTGCAAAAATCGCAAAATGACTGAAAATTGCAAAAATCGCAAAAATGACTGAAAATTGCAAAAATCGCAAAAATGACTGAAAATTGCAAAAATCGCAAAAATGACTGAAAATTGCAAAAATCGCAAAAATTCCTGAAAATTGCAAAAATCGCAAAAATTCCTGAAAATTGCAAAAATCGCAAAAATTCCTGAAAGTTGCAAAAATCGCAAAAATTCCTGAAAATTGCAAAAATCGCAAAAATTCCTGAAAATTGCAAAAATCGCAAAAAATCATGAAAGTTGCAAAAATCGCAAAAATGCCTGAAAATTGCAAAAATCGCAAAAATTCCTGAAAATTGCAAAAATCGCAAAAATTCCTGAAAATTGCAAAAATCGCAAAAATTCCTGAAAATTGCAAAAATCGCAAAAATGACTGAAAATTGCAAAAATCGCAAAAATGACTGAAAATTGCAAAAATCGCAAAAATTCCTGAAAATTGCAAAAATCGCAAAAATTCCTGAAAATTGCAAAAATCGCAAAAATTCCTGAAAATTGCAAAAATCGCAAAAATGACTGAAAATTGCAAAAATCGCAAAAATTACTGAAAATTGCAAAAATCGCAAAAATTCCTGAAAATTGCAAAAATCGCAAAAATTCCTGAAAATTGCAAAAATCGCAAAAAATCATGAAAGTTGCAAAAATCGCAAAAATTCCTGAAAATTGCAAAAATCGCAAAAATTCCTGAAAATCGCAAAAATCGCAAAAATTCCTGAAAATTGCAAAAATCGCAAAAATGACTGAAAATTGCAAAAATCGCAAAAATGACTGAAAATTGCAAAAATCGCAAAAATGACTGAAAATTGCAAAAATCGCAAAAATGACTGAAAATTGCAAAAATCGCAAAAATGCCTGAAAATTGCAAAAATCGCAAAAATTCCTGAAAATTGCAAAAATCGCAAAAATTCCTGAAAATTGCAAAAATCGCAAAAATTCCTGAAAATTGCAAAAATCGCAAAAATGACTGAAAATTGCAAAAATCGCAAAAATGACTGAAAATTGCAAAAATCGCAAAAATGACTGAAAATTGCAAAAATCGCAAAAATTCCTGAAAAATGCGAAAATCGCAAAAATGCCTGAAAATTGCAAAAATGCCTGAAAATTGCAAAAATCGCAGAAATCGCAAAAATTCCTGAAAATTGCAAAAATCGCAAAAATGACTGAAAATTGCAAAAATCGCAAAAATGCCTGAAAATTGCAAAAATCGCAAAAATGACTGAAAATTGCAAAAATCGCAAAAATTCCTGAAAATTGCAAAAATCGCAAAAATTCCTGAAAATTGCCAAAATCGCAAAAATGACTGAAAATTGCAAAAATCGCAAAAATTCCTGAAAATTGCAAAAATCGCAAAAATTCCTGAAAATTGCAAAAATCGCAAAAATTCCTGAAAATTGCAAAAATCGCAAAAATTCCTGAAAATTGCAAAAATCGCAAAAATGCCTGAAAATTGCAAAAATCGCAAAAATGCCTGAAAATTGCAAAAATCGCAAAAGTTCCTGAAAATTGCAAAAATCGCAAAAGTTCCTGAAAATTGCAAAAATCGCAAAAATTCCTGAAAATTGCAAAAATCGCAAAAATTCCTGAAAATTGCAAAAATCGCTAAAATTCCTGAAAATTGCAAAAATCGCAAAAATGACTGAATATTGCAAAAATCGCAAAAATTCCTGAAAATTGCAAAAATCGCAAAAACTCCTGAAAATTGCCAAAATCGCAAAAATGACTGAAAATTACAAAAATCGCAAAAATGACTGAAAATTGCAAAAATCGCAAAAATTCCTGAAAATTGCAAAAATCGCAAAAATTCCTGAAAATTGCAAAAATCGCAAAAAATCATGAAAGTTGCAAAAATCGCAAAAAATCATGAAAGTTGCAAAAATCGCAAAAATGACTGAAAATTGCAAAAATCACAAAAATTCCTGAAAATTGCAAAAATCGCAAAACTGACTGAATATTGCAAAAATCGCAAAAATTCCTGAAAATTGCAAAAATCGCAAAAATTCCTGAAAATTGCAAAAATCGCAAAAATTCCTGAAAATTGCAATAATCGCAAAAAATCATGAAATTTGCAAAAATCGCGAAAATGCCTGAAAATTGCAAAAATCGCTAAAAATCATGAAAATTGCAAAAATCGCAAAAATTCCTGAAAATTGCAAAAATCGCAAAAATTCCTGAAAAATGCGAAAATCGCAAAAATGCCTGAAAATTGCAAAAATCGCAGAAATCGCGAAAAATTCCTGAAAATTGCAAAAATCGCAAAAATGACTGAAAATTGCAAAAATCGCAAAAATTCCTGAAAATTGCAAAAATCGCAAAAATTCCTGAAAATTGCAAAAATCGCAAAAATTCCTGAAAATTGCCAAAATCGCAAAAATGACTGAAAATTGCAAAAATCGCAAAAATTCCTGAAAATTGCAAAAATCGCAAAAAATCATGAAAGTTGCAAAAATCGCAAAAATGCCTGAAGATTGCAAAAATCGCAAAAAATCATGAAAATTGCAAAAATCGCAAAAATTCCTGAAAATTGCAAAAATCGCAAAAATTTCTGAAAAATGCGAAAATCGCAAAAGTTCCTGAAAATTGCAAAAATCGCGAAAATTCCTGAAAATTGCAAAAATCGCAAAAATTCCTGAAAATTGCAAAAATCGCAAAAATTCCTGAAAATTGCAAAAATCGCAAAAATTCCTGAAAAGTGCAAAAATCGCAAAAATGCCTGAAAATTGCAAAAATTGCAAAAATGCCTGAAAATTGCAAATATCGCAAAAATGCCTGAAAATTGCAAAATTCGCAAAAATGACTGAAAATTGCAAAAATCGCAAAAATGACTGAAAATTGCAAAAATCGCAAAAATGCCTGAAAATTGCAAAAATTGCAAAAATGACTGAAAATTGCAAAAATCGCAAAAATGCCTGAAAATTGCAAAAATCGCAAAAATTCCTGAAAATTGCAAAAATCGCATAAATTCCTGAAAATTGCAAAAATCGCAAAAATGACTGAAAATTGCAGAAATCGCAAAAATTCCTGAAAATTGCAAAAATCGCAAAAATGGCTGA